GTTATTGGGCTTATAGCTCATTCCATCTTAATTTCATAATGGTAAAGTGAAGGGTGGTGGCAGCTGTGCTCAAGGTGGGTGGCAAATTATGAGCCTGAAGCTTGAGGTTAAGAAGTTTGAGAATCTGCCTTCAAAATTTCCACAGTAGGTTTTGGTGATTTATGTGATATGATATATTCCTCATTTTGTGTATGTTTTGGCCAGTTGTGCCTTAACGAACTTGTAAAGACTCTTGATTTGAGAAGAAATGAATTGGTTGTACTTTTGATTGTAATTGTTGGATTTATGGATTTATTTTAGTTTTTTTTTGGTTTGCTCTCGATTTCGTGTTTTTAATGCGTTGAGCCACTCCCACCTGAATGACATTCGTGACTTTTGGTTGCGATCTTGCGCTCTGTCGCCCCTCAGTAGGGGTCAAGGAGCGGGGTTGTGACATTTAGAATATTACTCTTGCATATACAGTCATCCTCCATCCATCTCTTGTATGATTGAGTTTGCTCGTCGATGGAGTCATCCGATGGTGGTGGTGGTGCAGGCATTGACTTGGTGACTATGTAAGGTACTTTGACAGTGGCAAGCAAAAAGATAATATTTTGTTGCTATCTCTTGAAATTTAGCCTATTGAAATGTTTGAGTCGAGTAAAATTGTGATTCATGACCTTCAAATAAGTCATGACAGTTTCCTTTCTTTCACCCATAAATACCATCTTGAATTATTGGAAAAAATTTGGGTGAAGTGGAAGCAAACAATGGTACGATTTTTGAAAAATTAGATTTCGAACTCTTATTGTTTTCGGACATGTAGGAGCACTATCTCAAGATGGTATTTGCCCCCCTTTCGATATTGTATTTGACGTGTATAAGAAGGGCAATCCGTCCTTGGGATACATGAAAACATAGAAGTCTTTTACAATGTTCCTAAGCTCTTTGCACCCGAGCTTGGAACACATACAACAGACACCAAAGTCATGTTATAATAGAGAGAAATGAGAGAAAAATGAGTTGAGAGAGAGAGAGAGTTAGCCCACTGTTTCGCTTATTAGATTGCAGAGAAAAGTTTATTGAGAGAGATGCTAAGGCTGTAAAAGTTATATATCATATGACAAAAAAACCCCTTTATATAGAGCCACACATGTATCACCAATAGCTACAAGTTGCATGCAGCCCTTTAACTCACTTGATGGCTACTGTAAAAGTTATATATCGTATGGCAAAAGGACCCCTTTATGTAAAGCTACATATGTACCACCAACAACTACAAGTTACATGCAGCCCCTCCTTAACTCACTTGATGACTGTCTATTTCATTGACAGCTATATGACCGTTGGGTGACCCACTTGCATCAAGTGCTAGACGACCGTTGGCTATCCTACACGAGCTAGGCTCATAAAAAGAGAACGAGCCATGAGCCCGACTCACACATGTGGTCGGGCAAGGGGCGCCTCATGCGTTGATGCGAGCGTGCAAAGTGCACCATCAAGCGCCCTTGCGCCCACACCCTCGCACACGCATGTGCACATAGCATGTTTTTGTGCTTTGCATATGCACATTCTCTCTCTTTTGTTCTTAGCATATATTGCATGGGAATGTGTGCTCTTAAATACATCTCAATAAACTCTCTCATATTCAATGTGGGGCTCAAACCTACATCTTTATCTCTCTACAAAGACAATTTAGGAAAAAACAATAAAACTACAGTTGTTGTTTTGAAATACATATAAGTATTTTTCAAACAAAAAATACTAACAATGTGAACCTTGGTCACAGTCTATATAGGGTCATTCCTCACCTTTAGTTTTGAAAAACTTTCCAAGATTTTAAGGTTTAAGCTTGGTTCATACAGTTTGAGGTGGGGTAGCCACAACTTTGCTAATTTCTTTTTTGCTAAATAAAGAGTCTGGATCATTTATTGTTGTGTGATTGTCTGACTTTCATAGGGGCCATGCTAATCTTTTTTGTATCGTTCCAATTTAACAGATGTCAATTTGTATGAATTGGATAGGCTGGGCTAGGTGAATTTGTATGAATTGGATAGGCTGGGCTAGGTGAGGGTTTATGGCTCGAGGTTTGACTTGTATTCGTACTAGTGGTGCTTGGGAACTAGTGTCTACATGACACTTTTTTAATTGTTGATGTGTTAACTGTTAAGAATGGGACCCTTTGCATCAAGTTGGGATACCACCACACTGACCACTAAGCAATTAGCATGTGTGTGGTTTTGGTGGTGTTAAGAAGAATATTTTCTATGCTCCTTCTTCCTACATTGACGAGAAAATATTTCCTATGCTCCTTCTTCCTACGTTGACAACAGGCAAGTTGAGCCGTTCAGGTCCCAATTTTATGGCCCAGCTTGGCTTGGACCCATGAACAGATGTTCTGAGACAACTAGCCCAAGAGGAAGGTTGGGTTTAGGCTAGGTCTCATTTAGTTCAATTTGAGAAAGGCTAGGTCTCATTTAGTCCAATCTGGGATAGGCTAGCCCTCTAAGGCCCCAACCAACCTAGCCTGCTAGCCACCCTAGGAATAGCAAGGGATTGTATAGAATGAGACTATTTACCTTTAGTATAAAGATGTCGCAATTATTTATAACCATTAAATGTGAAAATTGATAGCTTGGGTGTCTCCCAAATTTCAAAAAAATTCGTTTTGAACTTTGAGCTTGGTCAATGAAATAAATGCAGCCACCTACTTTCACATCCAATGCTTAAAATTAATTGTGACCATCTTGTACCAAATATCTCATTGTATACTTTTTGGTAGGTAAAATAGCATGCCCATAGCCTTTAGTGACGAGAATGTAACTTATAAAATAGCATGTCCACGAGTCTTTCAAAGGTGATAGTTTGAGAGTGGACCTACCATATATGTTACTATTTCATATTCCAGCTCTCAAAACCGAATGGACGGCGATAACCCTATTAAAAATTTGTTGCTTTGGCCCATGTATCACATTATACTATCGATTGGCTGAAGTATATTGACACCAAACAAATTTTTACAAATCCCTTCTACACCATCCTTAAGGGGCATAATGGGAATATATTTTCTTATTTACAAAAGCTAAAGGGTAAGTATTTTATAATCCTAGGGGTGGCAACAAGGATGATTGGGTCCAATTCCGGGTCCAAACTTGGACAGATAAAATGATATAGGACCCAGACCCGTAAAATATTTACTGGATTTGGACTCAAATAGTGTCTAGCTCTAAGATTTGGACACGGACTTGACCTGTCAAGTCCAAATTTTAAACCCATTCCTGGACACAGATCGGGTTTACTCCTTGGGTCTTGGGTTGGGTCCGGGTCTGGGTCTGTTGCCACCCTTATTAATCTGCCCTGAGGCTATCAACTACAATGATCCCCCAAAATTTTGGGGCTTCATGACCATTTGTTTGCCCAAGTTCAGCGTACGCATCCTCATAGCCCTAATGAAAAAGATCAAGGAGATAATAAGAAATTTTATGAAATTGGTTTTGAACTCGATCAGTGTAGGTCATTCATTTGATGGGCAACTGGATCTTGCATATTCGGAACTCAATAATTCTTTCTAAGTTGGTCATACAACCGTATGATGAAGCATCTACAAAATTTGAGTTAAATAAATATTTTTAGGGCCTTGATCCAACAACATTCGGTTTGCATAAAGTTGCAACTTTAAACAATCAAAGTAAGGCACACCTCTAAACTTTATCATAAGATGCAATTTTGGTCTCGAAATTTTTTAGGATGGTTGGAGAATATATTTTCATCTCTAATTATAAAGTTTAAAACTCCAAAATTGATTCAAATCAAGTATATCTATAGACACATGAAAATCTTGAAAATGAATGGTCCAGATAATGTGTTATATGATAAACTATTTTTAGAACTTGAAATCTCTTCTTCTTTGTTATTGTTTTTTTTTTTTTTTTTTTTCTCGTATCTGTACATCTTGTTGTCGAGATGATCAATTAGATAGTATCCAACGGCAAAATAGCCTTCTCCAATGGATTGATTAGGTGCACCTTAATTCTACAATTTAAGATGTAAATCTTATATAAACTTTTTCCATTCGATTAGTACATGTTCTCTCTTATTTTTTTAATGTAAAAAGTACTTCAAAACTTTTTTGTCCTATAAAATTGTTGAATACAATAATACTAGTTGTTGTTAGTACAAAGAGATCATAATTACTCTTAGTTATTATTATGTAAAATCCATCTGCTAATAGTGTACCTTTGACTAATCTAAGTCCCAAAAAGGTAAGAATTATGTTTGGACTCGAGTGGTTAGTTGTTGACGGTTGGAACACTAAAGTTTTAAGTTCAAATTTCTATAGATCTGGTTTTTAGGCAGCCAAGCCTGCATATGTAGAAATGCCGGCCTCTTAATAATTTATTTTTGAAATGGATTTTAAGACTTAATTTTTAAGGACAATGTAATCTCTAACGTGTAGATTATGAATATGAATAAATAAATAAATTTAAAATTTTTTAAAAAATAATTATAATATGAATATGAAAAAATAAATAAAATTTAAAAACTAAAAATAATAATTATAGTAAGAAAACATTTGGATGTTTGTTTTCATTGTTTTTAGATGAAATGCCTAAATACATCCATCTTTAAAATGGATGTTTTACCCTAAACCGCATATGTAGAAATGCGGTCTAGCCAGCATGCAACAATTTTCCAATTTCTATTCTTGAACTATGAGAATAATAGTCTCAAATTTTTTTTCTCAAACTTTGTGACGCACTTTAAGATTCCGTGGTTTTACAATTGTACCAAATATAAATGATGTTAGAGATACAATTCTGATATTAAGTTTTTTACAAAAATACAAACTCAAAAATATTTTATTAGACCTTTCTTTTTGTTTTTGCTTTTTTTTTTTTTTTCTCTGGTGGGACGGCCAAAGAGAAGGGCCTAAGGCTGTTACTGTCCGCCCAATGTCTTCCAAAAAATAAGGAAGAAAAATAATATATTGCCGTTATGCCCTCCAAATATGATGCTGTTTTCAATCCTGAAATCCACTCGCCATTCTTTTTTCTCGTTCCTTTGATCAACACTGACAAGCGAATCATCGGGGTTAGGGTTTCAGAGGCAAAATCAGGATTTGGGTGTCAGTGGAGGGGAAATTAGGGTTTCAATGGCTGTGAGGAAATTCTACAACGAGATCAAGGGCCTAAAGGTGAAGGAGCTTCCTGCCCATTTGAAGCCCATGCTCTCCATTGATTATGTGAAACAGGCCATAAGCCGAGGCATGGACAATTACCATAGGAAGTATATAATGACCAGCTCCATCGATCCTCTCTACCATGTCTGCTTTGGTGGAATGATATTTTCTTACCTTGTTGCCTTGCCTGAAGAGCGTCGCCATCTCGAGCACCAGCAACAGCATGGCAAGCATGATCGTTGATCGATTGGGTGTGTTAATTTTCGGTTCGTTTTCTTCCTTTGTTTGAGTTTGTTATAGTTTATTTACTATGATTTTATTGTAATTTGCATTTTGTTGCATTATTGTCATTTTTGCCTGGTTTATCTGTTGATTATGTTGGATTGATGTGTGATTTTGGAGGCCATTTCTTGTTGTGTACGTCTATTGGAGTGGGCTATTGCCATTTGAGATGCTTTAGTCTGTTGTGGTTTATTTGGATTGGGTATTTCTAGATCCCCATTTCTTATTGAATTTATTGTGACTAGTTGATTTTTTATTTTGTTCTGGTTTACATGTATATTATATTGAATTGGAGTATAGGATTGGAGATTATTTCATGTTCATATGCAGAGGATTGAAGTTCTAAATGGTGACGGGGAATGGAAATCTTTGTTATCTTTTGTATCCCATCTTATGTTCTTCTTTTCTCCAGCATCAAAGTAAATCTTCGGACCTATCTATTAAAAAACTATTGAAGTTAATAATTGTTCTACATTAATGCTTTCAGACAATTATCTCAAGAAACAAAAACTTTGACATTAGGGTTAAAATGTTTGAGACTAGATGCACGATTATACGTTATTGTTATTGATAAAAATAATCGAGGATAGAGTAGGTTTGCACTTTGTGTACTCTGAGATAATCCTGCTTTAACTTTCAGAGAGATTCTGGAAAATGACCCCTGATCTACTCTCTACCACAGTAATTACCTAGCGTGCATTTTATGCTAGAAGTTCTATTTGTAATTTAATTAATTTCCTTTTTAACATAGGAGACTTGGATTAGCATATCTGAGATGTGATATAGAATTATCCATTTTACCTTTATTCATGCATTTTAAAAAATTTAATTTCTTCCTAATGGCTATGTTGCCTGCTCTGGCCATGTGCTATTTTTATAACTTTGACGTATGCAATGCTTACCTGTCATTGGATTGAAAGAATGGCTTCCCACCTTGGAGTATGTCATCAGTGTTCTAAAATGTGGGATGTGGTCCAGATGAGGGTGCATCACCTCGATGTGGTCAATAAATAGAAAAAATTCTAAAAAAATCTCAAAAAAAAGGTAATGCCCAAAAAAAATATGTAGGTGATTTATGTGATACTAGGTACTTAATTTATTCATTAAAACCAATATTATCAGCTGTTCGGAGACTCTGAATCCCATGTTACAAGACCTTAGAAACTGGAAACTTGAAAGTAGCTCTATAGAAAACATTATATTATCATAATTCTTAAACATCCAAAAACCATAATCGCAATTGCAAACTCGGCCCTTGAAACCCTCGGTATGATGAATCTATGCTCAAACTTCTTCCAAACAAAGCCCAAGCTAATCCCAATGGACAACCCAACCAACACCGAAAGCAAATCAACAATTGCAATAAAAAAAAATATCTCCCCCAATTTTTTTTATCTTTGAGCCAAAAACAGTCACAAATGTGGTTGTCGTGGCTGTTTTTTGTGTTTAGAGGGGGGTTTAATACCCCCGCAAAACCCTCCCTCCACACTTGGGGAGGCGGGGGGGGGGGGGGGTGTGACCAAAATACCATGCTCGTGGGCATTATTTTCGCCCACAAGCTATGGGGTATGCGGTGGGATGTGGTGCACATGCGCTAAAATACCATGCTCGTGGGCATTGTTTTCACCCACAAGCTATGGGGCCGCATATGCAGAGGGATGTGGTGCACATGCGCTCCTATCTGATGCCGTCTAGGGCGCATAACGTATTATGCACCCGCATATGCGGCGATGCGGCCGCATTTTAAAACAATGGTATGTGTGCCCGATTTCCTCCGTAATCATAGTGCTTTGAGTTATCTTGAAAGGTGCCATAAAATGATCTTTGTGGTTGATGATGGAGGTTGACACTTTTCTGGTCCTTGTGGTGCTATGGGTTCATGTGCGGGGATCTTATTTGGTTTGTGATTTGAGGTTATAGTTTATTTTTCCTCCTGATGCATCTTATTTGGTTTGTGAATCGAGGTTATAGCTTATTTTTTTCACTCAAAATGTTCCAAGGATTGTCAAGACGACTCTTGATGGAAGTTTTGCATTTGCCAAAGTGGGTTTTAACTTGTAATTAGTGTTTAATGGCCTTTGGGAGCAAAATCAAGAGATGATTTTTGGGAGGAGCTTGGGGAGTAGGGTGGTGCTAATGGAACTGGTGGATGGGATTTGGATATGGTTATATTTCCTTTGATAATTGTGATACAATTAAATTTTATTATGATATAACAATCATTATAGCAAAATTGTGTTAGTTTGTTGTTAAGTTTGGGTTGTTTAATCCCACAGGGATGATATCGTATGGTCCTCCATGGAGATTAATCAATTCAAGCTTGATTGACTCCTCTTATTTCATGACTAGCCTGATCACATGGCTGAAGTATATTTGGATCACAAATTGTTCAGTAACAAGAAGGTATAAAGGCATCCTTTGCCATGCACTATTGTTTTGATGTTGTTGGAATGCCTAATTCTAGTTGGAAATAGTGTTGATCCTCATTTGGTGTGATAGCATGTTTTTTTCAGTCTGTAAGAAGTTGTATTTTGCAAGAGACACATTAAGAGATGGAAGAAAAGACTTCTAGGCACCGGATACTGAAAGAGTTGAACCCATTGAAGTGAGTTGAGCTAGGGGACTTGGATCACGGATCACCTGCGAAGAAAATGTAAATTTTTAGATTAAGGGTGACAAAGAAGAAACATATAATTTGATAAGGTTTGGGGCAATGTGGCTGAGAATTTTCACAAAGAGGGGGGAGTCAAAATACTCATAAAGGTTACAAAATGCAGCTTCGGTTGATACTATTCACAAAAAGGGGGGGTCAAAATGCTCATAAAGGTTACAAAATGCAGCTTCACATACTTGGAGCAATTTTGAGTACAATAGTTATTGGGAATGAATATTCTAATCAATGTTGGAGACTGTGGACTCTTGGAATCTGACTCTTGAGTAAGAATCCTGGTTTACCTTGCAAGAGATTTATGGAAAGAAGCTGTTCAGATATGTCCATAGGATAACGCCTAGTTTAGAAGGCAAGGATCTTGGCGGCATGGTTTCACGGTTATCTTTTTGAATCCATGTGGGAGATGATAGAGGGGACTGGTACATGTGGAACTGTGTGAGGAAGCTAAGATGATTACAAAGGTTGATGCTTACATGGTTGTTGGGAGCGAGAGTGGGAGTCTCGGATCGAGTGATGGTAAAACTCCCTATCTTTGGAGTGGCCTACCTTGGAAGCACATGGTGATTTAGCCTAGCTTTGGTGAGGTTGGTGCGACGTGGTGCACATACGTGCTTGCATATCTGAGAAAGCGACAAAGTCCTTGGTGCAAGGCATTGGGTTGGATGGTGCAGACATAAGGCTAAGTCGGTGGGACTAGGTGGACCAATGAGATCAACTAGTTGAGACTTAGTTGGTCGAACCACGAGAAGCCTGAGCTTGTGTGACATAGGCATGCTTCATGGTCCAGTCGTTGGTGACCGTACACTTGGCTGGGATGGTGTGTTGACCACAATGGCAAAGAGTGGAGTTTGAATTGAAAATGCATTATGCATAGCTGCACAGACTTGGGGCTGGTGTAACAGCCGAACAACCCCATGCCATGTGAGAGAGGGTGACTGCACGTGTAGTGGGCCTGGGCGGGCATGAAGATCTATGTAATGACCTTGAATTGACATGCATGGTTGTAATGATCCATGGAGTGCATTGACCAGATCCTTAGCATCCCATTAATGAGCCATGTAGGCAGCCATTAATAGTGGCATGTGGGCTGGTGTAATTGCCATACCAGGTGGTGGGCAGTCATGGTGGCACAAGTCTTCATGGCGTACTTCCAAACATGCTCAGCTCCACATATTCTTGTGCAGTCAAGGAGGATCGGTTTCATTTAGATAGAGATTCGTCGTGTAGATAGGGATTCGTACATGCAAAACTCTTGACACAACAAATATTCAAAGATTAATTGTGACCCAGATCCTTTATATTACACATTTCAAAATTATTGTGAATCGATCCCAAGTTGAAGGAAGAGATATTCATCGATCAAATTATTCACTCTAAAGTATGATAGATGATTTGAAGAAACGATTGATCAGACGAGAATAGAATAAAGATAGAGTCCCTTGTACATGTCAATCTCGGCAACAATGCAATTTGTAGTAAGAAGAAAATCCACCGACTTTATAATTCGTGAGGGTTCAAGTCCCTCTATCCTCAATTAAAGAAAGGCATGGTTTACTCCCTAATCATTCATTCTCCTTTTTTCCATCAGCCTTTCTAAACTAAATTAGGTATGTTTCTCATTTACTCTAATGCTTCACAAATAGATCTGAGCATAATTTCTTCCTCTTACCACAAGTGTTGTTATTGTGATAAATACAATCTATGTACAAACAAACATATATGTACAAGAAATCCCTATGATTGAATCATTCATAGTACGTTAGCCTTACAAACAAAGGAAAGGGTCAAATGCAATTTCAATTGCAGATCTAGGTAAGATTTTGTAATATTTAGTTTAGTTATTGGGAGAATATTTAGGTAAATGCGGGTGACAATGTGGTGCATACTTGAGGTTATACAAATCTCTTTTCAAAACACTTGGGGGGCATCCATGGCTCCTATACCTACACCAAGCAATGACCCACCAAGAATAGCCTAGGTGCAGCTTCAACACAAAGAATGCCTAGATATTAATTTGGTTATAGACCAATCAATTGCCTTATTATTTTCCAATTGCTTCTGGATCTAGTTAGATTTACATGAAGGAAAAAGTTTATTTATGGTGTCAACTTCGTACTATTAAAGTAAGGTGCACCTCAAAAATCCTCTAAAAGAGTATGTTTTGATGTTGTAAAACCCTCCTATTGGTCATCTCGACCTCGAGATGTATAGATATGAAGAAAAAAGAATTTGAAGTCCTAAAAATAATGCATCTTGTAACAATTATTTGGACCGTCTATCTCAAGATTTTCAAGTGTTTATAGATTTACTTGATTTGTACCATTTTGGGATTTTAAATTTTATAACTAGGGATGAAAATAGATATTCAACCCATCAGAAGGTTTCTGACACTGGAACTACATGTCCAAGCAAAAAGTTGGAGGTGTGCCTTACTTCTACAGTATAAGGAAACTTTATTTTGAATTATTTTTGGCAAGAAAAGATAAGCAATTGCCACAGGCCCTCAAAGTCTTTGGCTTGTGTATACAAAGAATAGAGGGCTAGTAACAGCAATGGCATTTCCTACATGAAATATTCAGTTGTAGTCATTAAGTGGGATGAGATATCTAGACTTGGGCTAAATAAACCATATTTATTGCATGCATATGTAATACATACTGAAAACAAAAATGAATTATTCACCAACACAGGATATGCATGAATTGATTATGGAATCTGTAAATGCAATACATGTAGGTATTTGTTTGCATTTTTCCTATGTCTACATTCATGCATCGCTGAAAAATGCAGATAAAAGATTGGCTTTGTTCATATCAACATATGATGCATGATGTACCTAAATCAAACGACCATGCCAATACATACTGTTTGCTCTATCAATCGAATTATATATAAAACTATGTTCTCTTCATACCCCCTCTAGTAGAAGGGAAAGCTCCTAAAGAAGAGGAACAGGTTCCTACCCCCCAGGGATATTGATCCTATCAAATTGGGATGGAGATCCCTTGAGACATGGATCGCGCTCCCATCTCCAATGGTATCACAATCCCTTATTGAAGAGGAGCTCATTCCCTTTACAATAGGGATCTCGCGATCCCCCTTCATCGGAGATCTCAATCCTTTTTTGTTGGCATTCACAATCCCTCCTTGCTCCCACTCTAGAATCACCGGAGTGGGATTGTGGCGATGGAGCTCTACCCCCTTGGTCCACTTCCCATGATCATGGATGCTCCATTTATCATTCCAATCCTCAAGTAGGAAGATCAATGAAGAAGGCAAGCTATTTGGAGAGATTGACAAGGCAACCAGATCAAGTTTGAAAATGGTATTGCAGAGCAATTCAGGCAATGAGCTCCTCTCTACCATGTAACAAGAAAAATTATCAATTCTGGTTGGGATCTACTAGATTGGGAAAAATATCAAATGCCTTTCTTTACATTGGGAAAAAATACCAGGAAGGTCAAACCTTTTTAATTGTATACCGAGTCAAATGGATGATGTTACATGTGTATCCAAACCTCATATTAAGTCAAACCTTTTTGGATACAAAAGAGGTGCAGGGAGACCAGTCTTCGGTAGTAGATGGATGATATTTTTCTCGTTACATGTGTTTCCATTAGGGAAGTAGATGTTTTCTATTTTATAACTTATACTGGATGGGGTATGTGAGTTTCTCGGGTAACATGTCAATTTAAGATAATCCCAGTTCCAGTGGGTCAATGTAAAGAAAGGTCTTTTGGATGAATGTCAGCCCTTGCCTCTCTCTCTCTCTCTCTCTTTCTATGGGGATAATTGTTCAGTGTTGTTGATGCCAAATGCATGCCATCCATCTTATTGTTTGTGAATACTATTGGTAATAGTGAACCCAAGAAGGTTAACATGGGTTCTAGTCATTGTTTAAAAAAACGGTTGCATACATTGGGCGCTCGCCTAGGCGTTTTTTAACAGAGAACCGCACGCCTCATGAAAAGGCGCTTGAAACGGGCGTTTTTACCTAGGCGGGTGCCAACCTGAGCGCCCTCCTAGGCCACCTGGGCGCCCGCCCAGCGCCTAGGTCTGGGTGGGCGCCCAGTGAAGTCAGGAGGAAGTGCTTTTTGAAATTTTTCCAAAAGGGCAAAATGTGTCATTTTAACCCCAAGTTTGTATAAAAAAGTTATGGGGTTTATTTTTGAACCCCCAAAGTAAAACGTATGTTGCGAAATGAAATAAATTACAAAATTTGACACAAATATATGCATATATGTACATTAGGATAGCAAATATTTTAAAAAATGCTATGATTCTCCACTACAAGGCTAAAAATGAATGATTTTCCACTACAGGGCGCCCGAGGATCTGGGTGCCAGCCTAGGCGCTGGGCGCCAGGCTGGCCGCCTCGTGTTTTTTGATACCTTGGTTCTAGTTATAGAAAGTATGTGAGATGCCTCAATTGGAGGGGATTAATATTTCTTTGGTGAGTAGGCAAAAATACCTAGGCTTTTCTTAGCATATGTGCAAGTTGCATTGTTTGTACTTAAAATCTCTATGATGGGGTTGGACGTAGTAAATAGTGTGCAATTGGATTTTCTAAAGTGCATCACAATGGCCGGTGAAGTCATTTTCAAAACCATTTGGATGATTATAAATTTCTTTACATTTGATTGACACGATCCTTTCTTATCTCCACTATAAATGGGGTTTGGGCACTAGAACAATGCACTTCAAGTATTCAACGAGACATTATCAATGAATCTGTGATAAATGAAGAGTGGATGGTATAAAGTATGTAGCAGAGTGGTAGCTTTGAAATATTTCTTGGGTGACTACAGGAAACGGGATGGGAGGTGGCAGCTTGTATTCCCATGACATTTTTACCCCCCCAAAATTGGATATCCTATTTCAGTGTCTTATCTATTTAGCATTACTAGATGAGACATCAGCTTTTCCATTGGTTAAGTTGACTTCTACATCCAGGACCCATCCATGGAAACCACACTTGATACATAAGATACAACTAGAGAAGGCTTGTGGATTCGAGTGATTTGCACACAATGATCACTACTCACGCTATTGTTGACTGGGAAAGATGCCTAAATGAGTGGGGTTGTACCAGTGTGTTTCATCTTTATATGGTAGATTATTGTTCATTGGCCAAGAGAGGAGATGTTGTAGCATGTTGATGTATTGAAGCAATCTAATGTGCCATGACATCTACAGTATCTTTGGGTATCTTAGGTTCTGGTAGTAACGCAATCAGTAAACATTTGAACATTAAAATCAATGTATCGTTCAAGTGTATTTCTCATTGAAACTCACAAAGCATATAGTGGAAGATTTTCTCTTCATTTAGGATCATTTTATAACAGACTAGCAAGCCATGTGGCCTGTTTCATGAAAAGGAGAAAGTGGTCTGCTCCTGCTTAAGAGCAGTAAATCCCAATTTCCTGCCTGCGCTTAAAACAAAGAAAAACCTTTTTCTCTTCTCTCAAGTAAAAGTGTCTGAGTTTTCGAGATGTTCCTACTAAGAGGTTTGTCTATAGTGGCTCTTAGTTCATCTTATCTGAAGATTAGTGGCAGATGATTTGACCAATGCCTTAGTTGCAATATACATGTAACTCGTATGAATGGTGGGAGTGACCCATGTTTGCTCACTATTTTATAACACAAACACTAGTACTTATGCCACCAATTTGTCCCAAGGTGGTGCATAGTTGATGATCCCCAAGTAAAATGTCCTCTTCTTTCTCCCTTGGAGAGGAACTTTTTGGTGGGGCATGCTTCCTGCATTTATAATTTTACACCTATAAGGTAATATATATCAGTTCAGCTGGTATTTTATCATATTATGGGTTCACCAACATTGGCTTGATGGAATCCTAGCCTTTTTAATGCCTTTGTCAATCTTGGAATCGATAGTTTTGAAAGTTTTGTACTCGTGACCTTTAATTTTTCATAAACTGGTGAATTCATTTCTAGCTTGAAAAATCTGTGATGACTGTTGAGAAGACATTGTACTAAATTTGCTAATATCTATTATCTTGTTTCTTTTGTTTGTCTATACATTTGGCAGCACTAGTGCATCTGCATGGTGCCATTGGTGGTGATTTCATAA